TCATTTTGTAAACAAAAAAATATTTATAGGTCGCTCAAAGTGCTCAAAGTTTTCCATGTATTTTATATGAGGAAAAAAATTCAGAGATATGGTATAAAATTCTTGAAAATCAATATTTAGCGATTGGAAAACTCTGTCTCTGTCTCTGTGTCTTCAGGAAACTTCCAGTAATAATACTCAATGTTTCATTTAACTATTTTTTAATATAAACTATTTTTTCACAGGTCTCTCAAGAACCCCAAAAACTGCATTGGAAGACCCATAAAAAATCGTTTGAATTGAAAAATGGTAAAATAAGGAATTTGAAACTATTATTGGAAGTCTCCAGATATCGATCTTCATTAATTCTATACCATTTGTACGAAAAATGATTTTCTTCCCCAAATAAAATATGTATATGGAAAATAAAATATGTNAGTGAAAAAACAGAAGTATACTTTTTTCCAATATAGAACAATCCTAGGGGGTTCGAGCATTCAAATTCGGACTTTACTTTCTTTACATGCACTTTTGTACCACCTTGATGTATATACATATGTACTAATTTATATGTATGTATGCAAGTAAAAAATGTTTGCGTGTAACTGTGCATAATTTTGCAAGTGAGCGACAGGTTTTTTTTTTTTGTAATGAAACCATAGCTGGTATGTTGCATGCAACCATTTTAAATAGTTTGGTTAACACCAATCAAAATGCTGGTCCTGACAACGAACAACAACAGCGTAGAGCAATGGAAACGGTGACGGAAATGGCCACATTAAACCTCAGAACTTTTAATTGTGAATATGTAATGGAATGTCGTTTTTAATTCTAGTAATTCGTGTAATTTCGAACTGAAAATTAAAGGCTTTTTGCCAGATGTGATTACCACTTTGTTATATTTCTGAAATTCGTCGACGTACTTTACATAGAACATTGAGTCATTAGATTATTCGTGTACAGCTCTTCCAAGTGCATAAACACCTCTCTTACAGATTTCAGACGTGGAGTTACCTGCATATGTCTAGTACACCGTCGGCTTGTTCATGTTGTAGTTAAAGTTAAATTTATTTTGATGTTGTGTGGTAGGCAGCATTACGGGTAGTATTTTAACGGCGATAATTCCCGTACTCTTCAAAGGTCTCTTAAACAAACAATTCTCTGTTACTGGTAATAATGTCGCGGTTCCAGTTCATAAATAAATCATGCAAATTAATAATTTTAATTGACAATAAAATTAATTTTACCGGAAAATAAAGCGTGAGGTGCTTCTTAGATTTCATAGTCTTGCTATTTACAATATACAATATTAATAAACTCAAAATGAAAAGCTCAAACCATTGATATCAAGCACCCCAAGTTTTGTTTTTCGGTAAAATTAATTTAATTGTCAATTTCTTTAACCCTATTTTAGTTTGGTTTTAAAGGTTTAATTAACGCAAGCTAGGGAACTTCCCATACTTTTTAAAAGAAATCTCTATTTCTATAAATTATTTTTTACTTTTTAGTTGAAAATTGTAATAAAAGCGAGTTTTAAGTTTTTTAAACTATAATTTTATTTAGTTCTAGTGAAACAAGATCAAGTTTTAAGCGGCAAAAAATCGCGTAGATTTTTAGTGATTTTTTATTGCTGACGGCTTTTTTAAATTTTTACCATATAAAAGGGAATTTCTGGTAGAATAAAATGCGTATGACCGTTTGCAAACAAAATTAAAAAAATTAACGCAATATTTTACAAATTGCACTTTTAAAAACCGCAGAATCCGTCCAAAAAAAATCATTACAAATCTACGCGATTTTTTAGCCACCTAAAACTAGCACTTGTTTTACTAGAATTAAAAACCTGATCTATCTGCGTACTCAAATTTTTTGAAAATTCAGATAAAATGGTCAAAATTTAGACGAAATCCGTAGAGTTTTTCTAAGTTCTGTATAAAGTCTGAAAGTTTAACTTATGTGGTTTTATTTTTAAGTATGAACCATATTTTTATAAAAAAATAACAAAAAAAATTTAACTTGAAAATCATTGTAAATATTAAAAACAAAACACCATAAATTTGAATTTTAAATATCTGGCAACCCCTAAATATAGTTCAGAAATAAACCCTTTTCAAACCCATTTCAATATTCTAAATAGTAGTTCGCTTGACTTATTATATAATTTTAATTTTAACCTCTAAACGGGTGACAACCCTCTTTAAACACCTCAAAAATATGTTTAGTGTTCAAACTAAAGATTTCTTAACATTGGCATTGATTATTGAATAATGTCCATCATATTTTTATCCATTTAAAATATTGTTTATACATATAGTATCTACTGTTTATCAAGCATAGCCAACTAAACTTCAATTTATTTGAAGAAACCAAGTTAATTTGTTTAGTATTATCTCGCCGACCTTTTACATTTTTCATTACTCATTCCATAAAAAGTATGTCCAGCCACCAGCAGTGCCATACACAACGAAGCACTTTACTTACTTTATAGCCGCTTTCTTCATTATTTACAGCTTTTTCAATTTATATCCTCTTCTGAAGGAATACATTTTCCACTTACAGCCAGCGAATGATTGCGTTGGCCCGCAGTACATATGTATGTATGTATGTACATAGCAGCGCCTGCCAGTGGTAGTGATTATGTTTGGTGTGTTCCGAGTGAAGTGTCATTGTTGACGAACAACACTTGTACGTTTTCACTTAAAAGTGCGTCTTTTTTTTTGTTTGTCGCATCAACATTCCGTTTCCGCCACTATCTGCTCGGCACTTGTTTGCTTGTAGATATGTAGGTATGGATAGCCAGCAACGTGCCGACTGACCACCACCACCACGTCCATATCCGCTGCGTAGCTACTACATACAAACACATAGCCATAAGATGCGACAACCACGCAATAAACAAACAAACAAAATGGCTAGGGATGTCAGTGGAAAAAATACATCGATGTTTTTCTTTGATTCGATGCATCGAAATGTACAGCGATATTTTTCATAGGATTTGCATAGGATTTTCAGTTAATGTTTCACAATAAAATATATTATTAGGAAAATTGTACAAAATTTAAAATAATATACTGCAACTGCAGCAGCATTTAAAATTTTTGGCCAAAGTCACTACTCTTTTTTGTACAATTTAAAAACTGGAATGACGTTTCAATGTACTAGAGATGTCAGTTTTCAAAAAACATCGATGCATCGATACATCGAGTGGAAAATTTTCGATGCATCGAAGCAAACCATCGTTATTTTCGATGCAGCGAAGTGTTTCCGACATCCCTAATAATTGCAGAAAAATTGCTGATGGCCATTCGAAAGCTACACAAGGAAAAGGGCGATAGAGAGAGAGAGAACGCGCTAGATATCTTTTCTAGCGAGCGAAAATTCTTGAGTGCATTGCTGTGCAGCTGCAGTTATGTATGCATGAAGACATAGAACGTAACAACAATATGGGCGTAAACAGAAACGACTTAATTTCCTGCTATTCCCAGCACGTCCACCAGCATTACAATAAGAAACCCATGAATCCAGAAATGCTCCTCAGCATACTTGCACTCCACTCTTGCTGATGATGATGTTGATTTGGAATGTCCAAGCGCCAGCTTGCTTTCGTCAGTTCCACCTCCACTTCTCTTGCCATTGTGGTAGCTGATGGACACAATTCACTGAAAAAATAAATATGCTTCCTCGCTTTGTTCAGCTGTACGTTTCCTTGCATAAGTGTAAGGATTTCGTACTTTTTCGTATTTATTTCTGTTTTTGTTTAATTTTTCCCCATTTTTCTGCTTATTTTTATCTTTCGTTAGTAAACTTTAAAACGCAATTCAGCATGTCAAATAACTTTTTTTGCTGATACGCTTCCGTTATTCTACAAGTGGTTGTCAACCGGCAGCTGAAAAGAGTTTGCTTCATGGCCACATTCAATTTTCTTTAATTAAGTGAGACTGCCTGCAGTCAAGTTGTGTGTGTGTGTGTGTGTGTGTGTGTGGCTGTGGATATATTAAATAATGGTATTGAAAGCGGTACATCACGTGCCTGCAATTTTTCTACTAATTCTAAACCAATTTAAGACATTTGTAGAACGTGGGCATTAGGCTGGTTGTAAGAAAAAAAATTATATTTATGTATTCATAATAGACTAGCAAATAACCAGCGTGCTTCACTGCGCCTTAACAATGTTTTTTTGTCTTTTTGATACCCATATTGTAATATTTAATTTTTTTCACCAATTTTATTAAATACAATTTTTCAAACAGGTGGCAACCCTCCTCAAAAATATTTTCGGCAGTACACTTTCCTAAACCTCTTCAGTTTATCAATTAAATTAAATTAAAACTTTCAAACAGGTGGCAGCCTCCCACCAAAATATTTTTCGCTGTAAATCTTCTTAAACTTCTTTCTTCTGACAGCCATATTGGAATTGTTAATTTACCTCATAAATTTACTCAAAGTGCAATTTTAATACAGGTGGCAACCCTCTATTTTTTTCTTTCTTCTTTAAGTTGGACCTCTAGCAATGCATCGGTGAAAACTGCACACTTCATGCATTAGTTTTCGAGTGATGCGCACATAAACATACAGCAGACAGACAGACAAAAAATCTAAAAATTGTTCTGTTGCTCCATATTAAAATTTCTCTAATATCTGTTATGTACAGACATCAGCCTGTTACAATTTGATGTATTATCAGGCCTGTTCTGAAATCCTATTTCTATCGGAAGCGGAATTGAATCCGATCGTATTTGCAGAATCGTGTTATGTAATCCTATCGAATTTAAATTATCGAAATCAATGTTTGAATCCGATTGTTCACCGTGTTTGGTGTTCTGTATTTCGACTTATCGGAAATTTCTGTTTGAATAAATCCGTCAAAGTTTTGGTCCGCGGAATTAATACGTTTTTTTGAAGTTTTTGTTTTATGAATCAAATAGAATTAGGAAATGTAAGTATAAAGCGTGGTCTTCATATTTATTATAAATTATTCAGATTTTAAGAATGCGGCTCAAAGCGCAACGTTGCTGGAATTCATGGAGCGCAATTCAGACATAGCCCAAGGCCATACAAAGGGTGACCGGGTAAGAGTGGAGCAGCAATGGCAAAAGTTGGCTAATATTTTAAATAGTCAAGGTCCAAGTAAGGATGTAAACGGTTGGAAAAGGGTAAAGTTGTATAACAGACATTCACTGTCTGGAAGTGTGAGGTTCGGAAGAAACTGGTGCGCAACCGTAAAGAACCTTCTGGTGGCGAAGTATTTAATAGGTATAACCTCACAGAAGCTGAAGAAACTCTTGCTCGCATAACGGGCATGTATACAGTGGTACAGGGTATACCTGAAACAACATCATTTGGGTTGGATGAGACGGTTGACCTCCAGGTGGAAGTGCTCGATCTAACCGAGGAAGAAATGATGCCCTCAACATCAACTCGGCAAAATAGCACCATTATTATGGAACGGTTCTGCAACGCTTTGGAGAAAATTAATGATACGTTAAATGCAATTAAAGAAGATCTTAGGCATCATCACAACAATATGGAAGAGATTTTTAAAGAAAAATAGGTATTAAAAGGGACACACAGAAGGATTTTGCAATAATTATTTTTACGGTATTAAAAATGTTTTTCACGGTAATTTTTTCCTTTATTTTTTAATAGAAATATAGCTTATTCGGCAACAAAAACCATGAAAATTAATATTTTAAACTTAAGAGAAAATGAAGGAAAATTCAAGAAAATTTCATCAAAATTTTTAGCTTTTTAATCAGATACTTTACAAAGAATTCGAGTATGCATTCAATTTTAGTACAAAAAAGTGCAAGTTTTAAGTTGCTAAAAAATTCCGTTGATTTCTGATAATTTAGTTTTTGTTGACGGTGTTGAGCTTTTTCTTCGATATTACGACATTTCTTGTGTGGAAGAAAAAAATGCTGAACACTTTCAGCAAAAACAAAATTATCAGATATCAAAAATTTTTCAGCAACTTAAAACTTGCACTTCATTGAACTAAAATTGAATGCATACTCGAATTCTTTGTAAACTATCTGATTAAAAAGTTTACAATTTTGATGAAAATTTGCAGAAATTTCCTTAATTTTTTCTTAAGTTTGAAATTTTGAGTTACATGTTTTTTTTACCGAATAAGCTATATTTTTATTAATAACGAGCTTGAGGTAGCTGGGACTTAACATTGATTTTTAGCATTTTTTTTTTTTTTTTTGTTTAAGGTGTTGCTCATTTTCTCCGTATAAAATAACTTCGATAATTTTTTTATACGGAAAAAATGTGCGACACCTTCAACAAAAAGAATTGCCAAAAATCAGTGGTGAGTCCTACTAGCTTCCACATATTTGCACTTTATTATATCAAAATTGAATGGGCTAAAAACTGCATACTCAACTTTTTTCTCGAGAGCCTAAATAAAAAGTGCAATATTTGAATGAAATTTTACAGAATTTTCTTTAATTTTGCACAAGGTTTGGAGCCCTAATTTTTGGGGTTTTTGTTGTAGAATGAACCATAATTTTATTATTGAATAAGTTAAATAAATTATTACAGTACGTACATCAGTCGATATACTTTAAAAAGGTTTTATATTTAAACTGTGTAGATGTAGGAGTACCACCTGTTTGAAAAATCAATTTTGTTTGCGGCTAACATGTTCAACTCTAAACTAAATTTTATTTCATATTTTCCAGCTCATAATATAGAATCATGATTCAATAATACAAGGTTAGATAATTATTGACAGCTGCGGTTTGACACTCCCTTACAAAAGGTTGCATTTGCGAAGGACAGAGAAAAGGCAAGAATGCAATCCCTTGTTGGGAAAATGGTAGTAGAAAAGTACGCAAAGTAGGCAATTAGTAGTGAAATTCCTTTTGTAAATTCTAAAGTATTTGCAGGAAATCTGGCATTTTAAACGAAATGTTGAACGTAATATTTATATATCTACGTGAATTACGTAATTTATATGCTATTTAGCTGTTTAAAAACTGCAAAATGACTCAAAATTAAAATAAGACTACTATGAGATTGATATAAACATCCAATGCTTATGTTTTCATCAGTTAAATTGCTTCATATGCATATACAAATAAACATATTGCACAAAAGCTTATACTTTTATTTCACACCAAAGCTACACTGTTTCCATGTAAATTTGCAAAGAAGCAACACGGTGCCACCGCTAAGGGAGCGGTGCGAGAGAGACAACTGTCAATTTATCGAACCTTGTATTATTGAATCATGATATAGAATTTGCACTTATTTTATTTTAACTCAATGCGCATGCCATAAACAAAAATGGGAACGAAACTTTTGGCGCTCTAACTTAATAGTTTTTTTTTTGCATAGTTTTGCGTGGAAAGAATTTAACATAGAAATGCTGTCTGTAACACAAAAGCGTGTGTGAGTGTATATACACACATACAATATGTACATATGTATGCACATACATATTTTAATGGCAGTGCAAAATTCAAAGCAAATTTTATGCGCTGAATTAAATTTTGCATTATCCTTGCATTAAAATGCATTTCATAATTTTACTTTTCATTTTTTTTTTTGTGCCCACAATAAAATAATGGCGAACCGACTGGCAACGACTGCTAATGGCTATATGCTGACTTCTTTGTTCCTGGACTCCAGTGCTTCCAGCGGCGGGTATTTCATAAATGTATGCATCTTTTGTTTTCCATAGTTTTCTGCACTTCGTACCTCGCGCTTCACGCTCCCGATGCCTTGGCTTTTCTTTTACTTTCCACTTTTCTTATTGTATTTGCCTAACGCTTCAACACTGGGGACAAAATTTGCCGAACAAAAGTATACTCGTAAGTATAACCGGAAACTTTTCCACCACTGCACAAAACAATGCAATAAATTTTTCCTATAAATAAAAAATAAAATAACGGCAAACCACGTGAAAAATAATTGCAAAATAAAGCAACTCGTACTAGAGCGGAGGAAGTACATAATAGATCTGGATATGCATATATATGTACATACATTGATACATATTCATACATGGATTTAGATTCAAAATTTTAGAACGAAAAGTAAGGTCGATGGGTAAAATGCAAAAACTGCTTTTTTATTGCTAGTTGTTTGTACATATATTTTTATTCAACATTCGCCGAGTACGCGAACCGCGTTGGTGGTTTTGAATTTCTGCTGGTTATTGAATAGATTTTTGAGGGGGGGGAGAGGGGGTTGGGGTGGGCACATGAACTCGCATTCGCCCACAGACTTTGGTTTTTCGTAATTTCTCTAATATTTATGTATGCTTTGGTAGAATATGCAAAGGGAACTATTTTTGAATAGATTAACTGGTAGCCAAGAATAGTTCCATATACATACATATTTACTGCGTTTTTCTATGGAGACAAAGCATCGAAAACCGCCAAAGCAGGAATTTAAATAAACTCGGTGCCACCGTTTAAGTTTTCCACCGGGTGATATTTTATCAACTAGCTCTTCTGGAATTGTGGCAACGCGCACTAACATCTATGACATATGAAGCCTTGA